GTTGAGTTAGCAGAGGTTAGATTTTAGTTGGCGATAGCATATGTATTCTCCTCAAGCCACTCTAATTCGACTCGCGTATTAGACATATTTTACAGATAAATATCGCAGCACATTCCACGCTCCACATTAACACTCCAAGTGTGTGCAATGGCAAATATAACGTATAACACATCCAGAACTAGGTACACTTAAGTAAAGGTTGCTTTATGAAATATTATACAAATAGACACATATAGCTAGACATAAACTTTGGTACCATTACTATGATCGTTGCAAGTTGTCAGGAGAAGGATACCTTAGCTTTCTAGCCAATGACCTACCAGAACTTTTGGAACAGACCTTAGACAACATGCCATTACAACGGAGACAGAATTTGTGGTTTCTTCACGACGGGCACCACCACACATTTTTAGAGGCGTCATTATCAGTGTTTGAATGAACATTATCCAAATCGCTGGATCGGTTGAAATGCTCCTGATCCTCGAAGATGGCCAGCAAGATTTCCTGACCTCAATTCAATGGATTTCTGGTATTGGGGAACACTTAAAGGGATGGTTTATGGTGCTGGTCCAATAACAACTGAAGCACAACTTCGCGAAAAAAATTTTAATGCGGCTGAAATAATAAATGGACAACTTCGAGGACCTAGAGTAAGAAGAAACCGGGCTCGTCGTAATGAATCTTGTGTGGAAAGTGGAGGACGTCATTTTGAACACCTTCCTTAAATACAAAAAAAGTGCAGTGTAGGTTTTAAAAAGAAAAGAATGTATGTATCAAAATTGTGTTCCCTATTTATAAGTGGATTTTTTCATATACTAAGTGACATATAAATCCGAACACCCAGTTTAAATGGTTTTATTTTAATAAAAGTTGGTGAATGTATTTATCTTACTGTATAAAACAAGTGAAAAAATTTCAGCCTTATCAGTTGGACATTCCGGTTTTTATACTGCTTTTTTTTAATTCACTAACGCTCTAAAAATGAATATTTCAGCCGCAGTAAAGAATCAACGTTGGCGGATTTTGGTTCTTGACATCCTTTACGATCGGTTACGATGCCTAGAGTACGGAGACCTGTACGATTTCGTCAACTTAGTGAGTTGATAGGGGCCGTATAGTGGGACTTCGGGAAGCTGGACTTTCTTTTCGGGCAATTGCAGTTAGAGTGCAAAGAAGTGTAGACACTGTGGTTAGGTGTTGTCAGGCATGGCTTCGAGAAGGCCGTACGCAAAGAGCAAGGGGCACTGGACGCCGCCGTAGAACAACAGACCGTGAAGATCGCCGCCTAAGATTATTGGCCTTAAGCGACGTTTCTCCACTACCAGGTCCATGCAAATGAATGGTTTGCAGAACACGAAGACCTATTGGCATGTGAAGTGTTTACGACGAATGAGAAGTTTTGGCTTGTTTTCATACCGGCCACACTGGGTCCTCCCTTTAACTCGAGAACACCGACGTAATGCCTTGAGTGGTGCGGACAACGGTCACTCTGGGATCAGGAATGGAACAGTATTGTCTTTAGTGACGAGTCTCGATTTTGTTTAGGCATGCACGATGGTCGTGCCAGGGTTAGAAGGCTACGTGGTGAAAGGAGGAATCCACAGTTTTTTGTTGAAAGACATGTTCATCACACTGTTGGAGTTATGGTTTGGGGTGCTATAGCTTATGGTTCCAGGTCACCTTTAATCTTCATCAGAGGGAACATGAACGCGCAGCGTTATATCCACGAAGTTCTAGAACCCATCTTTTATCCTATCTTGACACCCTGGCAGATCCAACTTTCCAACAAGATAATGCCCGACCACATGTTGCAAGAGTCACAATAGACTTTTTTCAACATAATGATGTCACATTGTTACCATGGCCACCAAGATCTCCCGACTTATCCCCAATTGAGCGCGTGTGGGATATGATGGGTAGGAGATTGCTCAATTTGCAACGTCCTCCTCAGACTCTAGAAGCACTTCGAGAGGAGTTGGTGGTTGCCTGGAACGAGATACCACAGGAGGACATTGACCACCTGATCAGAAGCATGCCTAGGCGCGTTGGAGAATGCGTAGCACATCAGGGTGCATCCACACATTATTAAAGGTCAAAGGGCTTTAAAGCAGTGCAATCATTTTGAAATTTTTATCATTTACTTATTATGCTTCATTAAGTACTTATACAAAATTTTATTAAATAAAACCATTTAAACTGGGTGTTCGGATTTATATGTCACTTAGATATATAGTAAGTGTATTTGTGACAAGAAACCAATGGAATTATCATCAACACATATTATTAGCACTCAAATCCTTACTATGCACCTACGCTCTGCCGTTTCCTTCCAGCTATAGTATACAACTTACAGTTTAGACCTCCAACAATGTCACCTCTGAAGCAGATGTTACATTACATCAGATCCAAACATTGATAACTGAAGCATAATGACGTTTAGGCAACACGTAGAACTACAAAACGAGTTCACAAGTGTCCATCAGCTAGAGCTAAGTTAACACCTTGTAGAAAAACCGACGTTATGTCAAAAAAAAAGTTAAGGTATGTCAAAAAAATCGACGAAATATCAATTTTCAAGATACATAATACCCATGCCGTGATATATCGTAGGTTTTTCTACAAGATGTTAACTTAGCACAAGCTGTTGTACGCTTGTTGTGAACTCGTTTTGTAACTGTACGTGTTGCTCAAACGTTAGCGAACAGCGATCATAGCGAACATACTATACGTGGAATGAACTAAAAACTACCTAATCTGAAAGATGACATTTCGTCAGTTTTACTTAACTTAACTTAACAAAAGTATCATCTCTGACTAACAAACAACAGTAATTGTACAAGATCTGTCGCAAAGTAGATATTACAAAAAAATTAACAAACATTTTTATATTTTATTCAAAATAGTCTCCTTCAGAGTTAATGCAGCGTTTGCATGGACCAAAAGATTTTCGAATGATAATTTTAGATCATTGACCGGGATGTCCTTCAAAATGGTCGACGCCTTTTGGGGATGGCCTTCACGTCGGCATACCGCTGACCCTTCATGGCCAAATGTTGTTTACCGAACAGAAAATATTCACACGTTGTCATATCAGGTGAATATGGCTACTGGTTAAAATGCCATTTTTATCAAAAAATCGGGCACAATCGTCGATCGATGAGATGGTGCATATCGTGCAACAAGCACCAGCTTTTTTTTTTCGCGATAGTCTGGCCGAACACGACGAATACGTGACAGCAAACGCCTCGATAACACCGAGATAAAACACAGCATTAACCGTTTCGCCCGGTGGAACGAATTCTTTGTGAATAATTCCCTTCCCATCATTATCTTAACTTTGGGCTTTTCCAAACAGCTTTTTTTCAGATTTGGCTCACAATATTGTACAGAAAGTTTTTGTTTTGGACTCTTTACTGATATCTCGCGAATCTTGAATTCAAAGCAATTTTTGGTCATCCGTGAGCTTGTGCGGAACAAACTGTGATCACACCTTTCTCATGCCCAAATTCTTGGTCAAAATGCGATAGATTGAATCTTTAGAGATATTTAGTTGCATTTCTATGTATCTCAAAGAAGATTTTGGGTCATTTCTGATAAATTCACGCAATCTTTCAACGGTTTCTTACGTAATCACAAATTTTGGTTGGCCAACATTTTTGTCGTCTTCCAGCGCTCACGACGCTCTTTGAACCGTGTAAACCACTCGTGGACTCGGCTACGAGATAAACAATCATCACCATACACTTGCATCAACATCTGATGCGTTTCGGTAAATGTTTGACCAAGTTCAACACTGACTTAATATTGGCTCTTTGTTCGATGCTCATTTTTACACCGATGCTAAAAAAATACTGTCACTTTGTTGAAATTTTGACAGGGCATCTATGAAAGACGTACCTACCCAACGCTCCGATAATAGATGGCGCTACTTATATCGGATATCTTGTCCTGTTTTCTTTGCGACAGACCTTGTAATTTTTCACATTTTCATTTTATTGATTTCCTCAGTAAATTGATATATTTTGTTAATATTCATAATATCCATTTCCTATAGATTTTGGTTGACGCCGCGCTCGCTCTCTTCATATACACAGAATCAAACTTATTACTATGGGATTTGAAGAATGTACAATACCTTTCATAAACTTTGAAATTCGTTTTTCTAAGTCCAGCCAATTTCTTGGATCATGCCTGTCGGGATAGGTTAATCCAAAGTAATCTTTCTCGATCAAATTTATAGCTTCGCATACCTTATCTAGCAGTTCTCTGCCCTTAGCTTTTCTCTGAAAAATAAAATAAAGCTCTAATGAACACGCAGCCGAATAACCTTATAAAAACAAACTTTTTGCCAAGAAACTATCGAACTGTTTCGGAGCCAGACATTTGTCTGTGCGGTAGGATAATATGCATTATAATAGTATAATCTTCATTGGAACAGGTTTGCTTCCAAACACAGGAACAACCGATAATAGTAATAATAAACATTCAGTTCTAGAGTATCTTGTGTATAAAAGTTCATTTTACAAAATGCATTTAAAACACAATGAAAAACATTATTATAGAAAATAAAGACATTAACATGACAGTAAAATTCACACAAAAAAATAAAAATCTAAAAGTTACGGCTCCATTTACAAAAATAAACATTACGGGTTAAGTACGCCATATTTTTGTTTAAAACTAGTTAAAATCACCTGAATGGTATCATTATTGATATCGCATCCTTGTCGATAAGTGTCAAACACATTACGCATCCTATTAACAGGAGACATGTCTGATATGTTGGTTCTACCCTTAGTGCTGGCACCAAAAAATACGTTTTAGATAATGATTCAGGGCAATCAAGTTTATTATTAACCTTACTATGGAGCACTCTAATGTCATTTAATTGACGAAGGATAAACCAATATATCAAAATTCATATTGTGTGGGAAGCATCTTCCAGGATATACAGGGTGTTCAAAAAATAGACGGATATTTTAGAGGATGATTCCTTGTTGAATAATATGAAAAAAAGGCTATATAAACATGGGCCCGGAAATGCAGTTTTCAAGATGCAGGGTGATAAATTTAAAAAAAAATAATATCTTGAAAAATATTTACTTGATTCTGTTGAAATTTGGCAATATTATTTGTTGTATTCAAGAGTCTAATTTAGCCCTAAACAGATTAAAATTATTAGGCCCAGTGCGGCGCAAAATTAATACGAACAAACTCAGGGACAATCATGCACAAGCAAGATTCCAAAACCTTTTAGATAAAAAGCTTGAACATCACCTAAAAGATGTAAATCATCGCAATATCCACACATTATGGGACATAGTTAAAACATGTATATTGAGTAGCACAGAAGACGTGTGTGGAACAACGGTAGAAAACAACCTTAGAAAGCAAACCGCGTGGTGGACAGGTGATATAAAAAATTCAGTAAAACTGGAAAAGAAGGCGTGGAAAATATACCTAGCAGAAGGAACCGTTGAATCTTACGAAGAATATAGAAAACATCGGAAAAAAGTAAAGCAGAAGATGATAAATGCAAAAATTCGGAGGAAACATTTTATGGGAATCAAAAATTATTCTACAGTGTTGAAACATATAAGACGAAAAAATAACAATGAACTGGACTAAATTAAAGATAAAAACGGACAGCTAGTAACACAGGACGAAAAAAGCATGGAAAGATGGAAGAACTATTTTAGGGAGTTATTAGGAGGGGAAGAAAATATGTAAAATCGAGTAAGGGATGAGTTAATTCAAGAAATTAGGACAAATAGTGACATTGTAGCAGATCCTATTACCGAAGAAGAATTAGAAAAAGCAGTAAGGAAACTTAAAGTAGGAAAGCTCCAGGGCACGACAGAATAACAGCAGATATGGTAAAGTATATGTGAGGCGTAGGAAAAATAGTATTTTTAGAGCTGAAGAGAACGAAATATCGAAGGACTGGGCAATAATACTACCATTATTTAAAAAGGGAGATACAAATGTATGTGAGAACTACACAAAAGCATTTCTCTATCAAGTATACCAGAAAAAGTTTATGAGAGCATACTAACCGAAAGACTAAAGGGGAAATAGAGCACAACCTGAACGAATCACAACGTGGATTCATAGAAACAATAGTAGATAATAACGAAACAATATATTGGTGCTTCATAGATATATCAAAATCATTTGATTCAGTGGATAGAATGGACCTATGGAGTATACTAAACAACCATAATGTGAACAAAAATTTAATAGAAACATACAAAGCCTATATAAGAGTAGGACGACCCTGTAATAACAAAAAATAAAAAATCTGAAAAATTTGTAACTACATCAGGAGTGAGACAAGGGAACGTTGAGCTATATCTATTCATAGTACTAATGGATAAAATTATAAAAGAATGTAGAAACAGACTCAAGAAAAAAACGTGGAGATACTATAATATGGAGAGGGTAAATATTAACCGAATGGTGTTCGCAGATGACCTAGTACTGTTAGCAAACAAAAAGACCTCAACATAAGCTTGAGATATGGAATGAGGAACTCAGAAGATATAAACTAAAAATAAATATGAACAAAACAAAATGTATGGGTATTTCTAAAGACCCATAATACATAGAAATCTGATTAGAACAACATATAATACAACGAATAATAAATTTTAAATATTTAGGAATAATGGTAACAGAGGATGGAAAGGGTGAGGCAGAAATAGAAGATAGAATGAAAGCAACAAGATTATACTTCCAACTAATTAAACACCTATTTAACAAAAAAGAAATATCTACAAAAACAAAAATAGAATGTTCAACTCACTGTATATCTCTACACTAACATATGGTTCAGAAGTGTGGATATTGAGTAAAACACAGAGGCAGAAAATACAAGCAAATGAAATGAAACTGCCAAGAAGAATTGCGGGTCTGAAGATTACGGACAAAGTCAGAAATGTAGAAATTAGAAGAAGATTAGGTGTCATATCTGTAGAAAAAAATACAAGTGAATGCGCTAAGGTGGTTTAGACACATGATTAGAATGATAAATAAACGAAAAGGGTCTGTAGAATGGGAGAATTCAAGAAAAAGACTAAAGGAAAACCAAGAAGTTAGTGAAATGAGTAAATAGAGTTGTACTTAAGACAAATGTATTTGGACTGGAAAGCAGCAGGAGGACTAGCTAAAGGCAGAACAAAATGAAGAAAGAAAATAAGAGAAGTGTAAAAGATATCAAACTACACTGGCTAGATCAATGAGAAGAGGAACGGAATAAGTAAGTGAAAGAATAGTAGGCTTTTCACTTATTCCTATTCCATGGAAGGTAAGCTACAGTATTATTTTAGTATGAGTTTTACAAGAAACAAATAATTTGATATGCTATTAACATTCGGCGAATGCAGAAAAAATTCTAGAAATGCTTGAGCGTTGTACGCTCAACGATATTCTAATAGAATACACCCGAGTTATTATACTTTTTCAAGTTAGAGGAAAATTTTAGAGATGAAGAGGTCTCTTTCGTAGTAAGTGAAGAAGCGGAGATAAATGTTTTGGCATATGTTCACTTTGGCCCAACCGTATCTACTAGGCAAGTGGAACAAGCAACAAATGTAAATCGTGAGTCAGATTGACAGATTTTGAAGAAACATGGATTCCATTCATATACATATCAGGTACTAGATTGGCCTATTGTAACTGGTTTCATGCTCAACTTCAAGACGATAGAAATGGTCTTTATCATATTTCGTTGTCTGATGAATCGCGTTTCACAAATCTTGGATAATTTAATGGAAATGATGTGGCGCCCGCCCACAACACCAGAGAAGTTGCAAGATATTTAACGCATAGATTCGGGAATCGTTGCCTAGGAACAAACGGTCCTATTAGGTGGTCCGCACGATCACCCGACTTAACCATTTTAGAGTTTTTCATTTGGGCCTACTTTATGTCATGTCTCCTATAAATCTGTTAGATTCAGAACAGCAAATAACGGCAGCAATTAACACCTTATCTGACGATTTTTTAAACAATGGACATGCAGAAACCATAAGAAGGTTCAATAAATGCTTTAATTGAATCTTTAATAGTTTTTAATTTTGTAATAATTTTTTATAACTAGAATATTTGGGCAAAATAGTAGTAGAATATGATAATATCAATAATTTCAGTTTGTAGTAATCAAAGGGAGTTTTGATAGTCTGTTATTATAAAATAGAAAATGAAAACATTTTTTATTACTTTGTCTGGAACTACGAGCCCCTTCCCACTTCAGTTGGCCCACTTCAAGATTTGTACCAAAATATGCCTTTATAAACTAAACATGACGAAACTACTTACTTCTAAAACAATGTGCGAATAAATGCGCAAAGTTAACAAAGCAACAATTGAAAGATTACCATTGGGTAACATCACCTTTATTTTTTATTATGGCTGAAATTCTTTGGGGCATAGTGTTATCTAAGTTTTGGCAATAATTTGGTGTAAGACAATCCCATATTTCTTGAAGCTTTTGTCTCAGTCCGGTGATTGTACAAGCAGGATGTTGTCGTAGAACCTTTTTCATCTCGTGCCACAAAGTTTCAATAGGTGACAGATCTGGACTGCTAGAAACCCATTTTAAAAGTGGTACATTATTTTCTTCCATCCATTTTATAGCCTTTTTGAGGTATGGCACGCTGCACCATCTTGCTGAAACACAAAATCTTGGCCGGATGTCAAACATTCTTCCATCTCTGGTAAAAGCGATTATTCTAAAATTGCCAAATATTTATTTGTATCCACATTTCCATCAATAAAATGGAAGTTTTCCTACTCCTTTTGATGACATACTGCCCCAGACCATAATGGTTGCTGGAAATTCCACTTTTCTCTTCAGACAATCAACATGGAATAATTCATTTTTTTTGCGAATAACTCTACTGCGACTGGCAGCAACACAAACTTCGAATCGGGTCTCATCACTCCATTTATTGCACACCATTGTTGAGGTGTCCATTGTCTATGTTCTTTAGCCCATCTAAGCCGATTTTTCTTTTGCAGTGGAGTTAATAGTGGCTTTTCTTTGGCCTATAAACAAGTTGTGCAACTTTAGGTTTTTACTTCACTTTTTTTTAAGAAAACTTACCTTGCAAGTGCTAAATCCCAGTTTGTGGGCCTCTCTATGAGTTGTGGACCTCGAAATTCTCCTTCCAACAGCGTCACTCCACAGAGCACTTAATTGTAAATAATTGGCACGCCTGTTTTTCACGATTATTCTTCTTAATGCTCTTCGGTCGGCATTTGTGATATTACTTTTTTTCACATATCGTGGATTAATATTAACTGAACCAGTTACGTTATATCTTCTAACAATATTTCTCACACTGTACCGCGATAAGTCTAACAAAGTTGCAATTTCTGAGTTTGATTTCCCAAATTAAAAAATTAATTATCAGTAACCGAATTTTCTCACTAAACCTTTCCTCTACCCATTTTGAAAACCTTAACTACCCAAAACTATTTTAAACGTATTCTGACAGCTGTGATTAATAAAACAATTGTCATGGCTTTTATTTTTCAGCCACCTATGCGTTATAGACTTATTTTGCATTGAAATGAAAATAGGTTGATATGCTGTAATTGCAACATGTGTTATTTTTATGCTGCAAATTTGATTAGGGAGTGATAAAGTTGTGTTTTCTACTATATTACCAAAATATTCATTGTTAATATTTTAAACCTATAACACCCTGCTACATTTTTATTATTTGTGTTTGATAAGAAAAAAACTAAGATTTCAATAGTTGGGCCATCTGAAGTGGGAAGGGGCTCGTATATCTTTTTATTTTGATCACATCGCGAGCTTGACAGTTTAAAATATTTTTTGTCTTGAAAGAAATATGGCGGCACCAATTACTTTATACCGCCGTCATTTTAAAGCAAAAATGTCACTTGTGACACATCGTAGGAAATGGAATTTTGCATAGAGTACGATTATAGAAGAAAATATACAGGTTTCCATCTGAAAAACGGTGAAATTAGAAGGGTGAGATAACCTATTCAACTTTCTAGAAATACACCTTAATGACTAACTAAACATGTCCCAGTCTTGGAGCGATATCGTTATTTGCAAAAAAAAACAGCGTGTTTCCGATTTTCATTGTCACCCAGTAGGGAATCTGAAACCAGAACAGATAGAAGGGAGGAAATCGATGAGGACTTACGTCAATAGAGATGTCCAATACGGAGCCATCCAGCATCGTAACTTGAGCCAGAGCTGTGCCGCCACCAGTCCCCTTGTTGGCGGCGGGCTTAGAATTGTTGTGATCTCCGTCGATTGCCATCTTCTTATCTTCAGGCATCCTCGCCTATCACCCTGGAAACATGAACGGTTAATTGAGGATCCGCAATACCAACATACTCCTACGTAAACGTATGTGTGGATCCATAATAACTCATTTATTTTACTTCCTACGCCACCGTAAGTATTGTAATCGCGAGAAATTTGAAAATGAGATGTTATGTTTTTTGGATGTTATATGACATGTACAGGGTGGCCAACTAAGAATGCGAGGTACTGTATCTGGGAACCTATCCATGGTAGAGGCTTGCAGCAAAAACAGTTCTTACTAAAAAGGCCAAGAGAAAAACATGACAAATATTTTCAAGTTTCTTAAGTGGCGCTAGGGGGCTCAACTGCAATCTTGAATCTAAAAAAGTGATGTTGATCTTAACAAACGTGACCTAGTTTAAAAGAGCTATTCTTGGGCTACAAATGTTACAATATTTTAAGTTTTGTTAGTCTCACATGTGGCCGCTAGAGGGCTTTTTTGACATTCCGATTTTTTTATGAAAAATTTGCTAAATGATGTTTAATCAAGCCCGCGAAAACTTAATCTCGATATCTTGCATCTAAACTAAAATTTAGGCCAAAGAAAGTTTTATACAGAAGTCTCATGAATTTAAATTTTTTTAAACTAATTTTTATGGAATTGCTTTTTATTCATCAGAATAAAATCACCCTGTTTGAAAGTATTAAAAAATATCGCTAAATGGTAAGTAAGTAATGCTAAAAGCAAAAGGCATATTTTTGTTTAAATGCATATTCACTATGAGTACATACGAAAAAGACAATAGAAGCAGGCCATGGAACACAACAAAACAAATATCTAATCAAAGCATAAATAATCCTCAAATTCTCAATAGTGGTCAATAGTTTCGCGTTATTTTGAACAATTTTTGTGCTTACCAAATGCGTTTTACGAACGATGAAGCTGTTGATATGCTTGCAGTTTATTTTGAATGTCTTCAGAATGCCGCAGTAACAAAAATAGTTTACGCGATTCGATATCCAAATTGGCGTCTTTGCGATGTGAGTTTTTCCCCGATTATTGGTGAGCTTACGAACCAATGGTAGTTTTCGGCTTACGTTTCAACAGCAAAGACTTGGAAGAACACGAGGAAATATTAACCGCAAACTGGGATATACTGAAGGAAATCCTCATTTTAGCACAAGGCCTTGAGTTAGGCATATCACGAACAACGTTTCAAAATATTTTTAAGGACCATGGATAAGTTCTGATGACCATCACAATCTAGGGATTTATTAAATTAATTTTAAGTTTGACTTTTTTAATTGCATATAATGTTTTGCATCAGACCTTGAAAAACGAAGACTTTGATCGGAGATTGGACTATTACTATTGGATGCTAGGCATGGTATTCGAAAATAGAGAATTTTTATTTCAAATATTTAGCCCGATCAAGCCACCTTTAATAGTGACGGGAGAGTCAATCTGCACAATATGCATTGGTTGCTTGTGGTGTGGCATACTGGAAGGAGAATTATTGGGCCATATTTTTTAGAGCAATCCCTAAATGGAACTGTCTTTATTGACTTTTTGGACAATCGATTACAGTTGTTGTTGAAAGATGTGCCAGCATGTGCCAGTGTGCCACTGAAAACACGGCAAAACTTGCTTTTGCAGTTGGATGTTGCCCAGCACATTTGCTATTATTGTCAGAGAGCATATTAATGCAGTATTTCAACACCGGTGGATTGGGGAAAGAGAAGCCTTTCCATGGCCTTCGCGATCACCAGACTTAAGTTGTCTTGATTTTTATTTATGGGGACGGTTAAAGGATATCGTGTTTCAGACTCGACCTACAACCAGAGAAGATATGAAAAACCGGATTCGTATTGCAATACGTTTTTTTAGGGCCACAACTTAATAATAACAAGAAATTCCAGAAAAATTAGTTTAAAAAATACAAATTTAAGGGATCTCGGTATACAATTTTCTTGGCCTAAATTTCAGGTTAGGAACAAGGATAGCGAGATGCTGTTTTCGCGAGCATATTTAGACGTCATTTAGCTACTTTTTCATAAAAAAATCTTACCAATGCTTTTAATTTTTTTTTAAATTAACCATTTCTGTCGAAATGTCAAAAAAGCCCTCATGTGAAACTAATAAAACTTGAAATGTTATAACATTTGTAACCCAATAATAACTCTTTTTAACTAGCCCAAGTTTGTTAAAATCAACATTACTTTTTTAGATTCAAGATTGCAGTTACGCCCCCTAGCGGCCACTTCAGAAACTTGAAAATATTTGCCAGGTTTTTCTCTTGGCCGTATTAGAAAGAACTTTTTTACCGCAAGCCTGGATGGATAGCTTCCCAGATACAGTACCTCACATTCTTAGTTGGCTACCCTGTACGTGTCATATAATATAAAAAAAAACATATCATTTTAGACTTTTTTCGTGATCATAATACTTCCTCGCCCAGTGACGTAGGAAGTAAAAACAAATAGATAAATTCATTTTTTACTGCCGACGCCAAAAGTATGCCGCATCGCATGCAGTGAAGTTTTGCCGGGTCTATTAACTTTCGGGACCGTAAAATCGCAAAAATCGATCGCCACCCAGGACGAAAAACAAGTTCCTACGAAGCGTGCTTACCTAAAATAGGACAATGATAAACATGGGAGTGAATATTTTTCGTACCAACCAATGAGGATTAAAAGCTACATCATGCCACTCCTCGAATGAGAATGAATGCTGATAGCATACAAAGCTTTGTTATACAGGTGGTACAGGATGGTACAAAAATCAGATTGAGAGTGTTGTAATAATGTGATTACCTCATAAATGATTAGTACAGGGTCCGGTACAAAGGTCGGACGGTTTTTAAAAATCACAAAATCGGTAATTCTTACTCAAAAACAAATTTATTGACGGATTCGGTTTCACAATGAAATAGCGATTGACATAATTGAGTGTGGAAAATCACATCTGTCATGTGGTGACCGTTTTTGACTATGCATTGCTGAAGGCGTTCTTTCTAAGTTCGCGTAGACTCTCTCCAACATCGTTCTCTCAACTTGCCCGACTTCCTCGCGAATTGCCTCCTTCAACTCGTCCAGAGTTCGGGGCTTGTGCTCGTATACACGAGCCTTGAGGGGTCCCCATAGGAAAAAATCGCAGATGGATAAATCTGAGGACCAAGGAGGCCAATGAACATGACCAAACGAAGGAAGAGAGGGCGTTGCTCTTGCTGTGTGGGCGGTCGCCCCATCCTGTTGGAACCACGCACGTGGGAATGGAACACGTCGTCGTCGTAATTCAGGTAAAAAGAAGGTGGTGATCATTTCGACATAGAGCTCCGAGTTCACGGTAACAGCATTGCCATGACCGTCTTCGAAAAGTAAGGGCCGATGATGCAAGTTTGCGATACAGCGCACCAAACCGTCACTTTTGAGGTGTGGAGCGGTCTTTCATGTAACTGTCGCAGATTTTCATTAACCCAATAACGGCAATTCTGGTGGTTAACCATGCCATTGAGATGAAAGTGAACTTCATCATTCATGAACAAAATGAGGTTCTCATTTTGCTCGATAAGTGCTTCCATCTCACGTGCGAAGTTCCTTCGTTGTGCGTAATCTTCAGGCTGTAACTGTTGCACAATGGCCAATTTGTAGGGTGAAACTGGAGTTCCAAATGCAAAATGCACCTTACCGATCGATCACTGAGGCGAAGTTCAGCAGCATGTTGCCGAGCAGATCGAGCCGGACTGCGAAGGAAGACTTGTCGAACGCGTTCCACATTTTCAGTGGTTCGAACCGTTCGTGGAGCTCCTGGTGGTATTTTGTTGAACAATACACCAGGTGTGCGTGGAGTGATTGAACCTAACGAAGGATGGTGTTTCGAGAACGAACAGCTCGATCCTGATGAATATACTTACGCTGTACAACCGTGATAGACTCATTGTGTCGGACAAAACTGTCGTACGCGAAAACGCGGTGCCCAACCATACACTGCTCCATAATGTCTACTGGTAAAAATTCTAGGAACGCCCGACTCGAACGGCACTCTCCCCACCACTCTCACCAGAGTAGGCGGAGAGAACTAACCACTTCAAAATCATCCGGCCTTTGTGCCGGACCCTGTATAACTGGGAATTCAAGAGAATCGGTTTGATATAGGTTTAAACTTCTTATCAGTAGTATCATAACTTGTATGTACCAGGCAGTGTTGCAAAAAACCTGATTTTAAAACAATCTATATCAATTCGTACTGATTGTTTCCTTTAATATGCTAATAGTGACCTTAATTAACCTAATAACCTATTTTCATTATTTAAAGAGCATTCAAGTAAATTCGATGCCGTAGTGAGAAAAAAGTTCAAATATCTATTTGAAAAATTTTTCTGAAGATTCTGATATTTGTTCAGGATGATAGAACTGATGCAACCCTGCAATCATCGAATCTCTCGAGAAGTTAGACACCTCTAGCTACCTATTGAACATGATAAGGAGCTACTTTCACGAGAGGACACTATGGTAGGGCAAACGACGATGAAGGTAACCATGGGAGTGTCGCAGGGCTCCGTCTTAGGGCCGCTGCTTTGAACGTGTCTACGATGGGGTTCTTCGATTACAGATGCTGGCGGAAATTCGCTTGAAAGGGTATGCTGACGACCTTGTGATGATAGTGACAAGCAAGGAGAGAGATACACTTGAAGGACTCTTGGCATATGGGATCACGAGAATTACCATACGGATGGAAGAAATGGCTCCTGAGAAGACGGAAGTTTGCTTTAAATTAGCAATGCACCTTATTGCAGATTTCTGAACTTTAAACACTTTTTCAATATGTATATTAGCTGCAGAGCTCCAAACTAAAAGTCCATAACGTAGAATAGAATCAAAAAGAGAATAATAAGCTGTACGTGCAGCTATTTCATTGACCTTATCGCATTAAATTGCCCTGTTTAATTTATTACATAGAATATTTACATGGTCATTATACAACAGACTAGTGTCAACACTACACCCACGCATTAGCCCGATCCAGGACGCTCCCAAGCATCCGCGCTGCGTCCACGCCCCTCTCTACAGCAATTCCCAATGTTGCATCATTGGCATACAGTATGGTCTCTATTACCATGTTCGTTTGTGAATGCTTGTGGCAAATCATTCACATATATGAGAAAGAGGAGTGGACCCAACACGGAACCCTGAGGCACACCAGTCTCTGCAAGCATAGGTTCACTACTCAATTATTATAGCAAACAACCTGAGAGAAAGGATCGCATCAGCTTTAGAGCAGTTCCCCTAACGCCATAAAATTGTAGTTTTTCTAATAAAATATTTCTATTCACACAATCGACCGCGGCAGTCAGATCAGTAAATAGTCCTACAAACTTATTTTTATTTTCAAAGCCTACCTTATACAATTTACTAAAGTTAGTACGGCATCTGTTGTCGTTTTGTTTTTCCTTAATACAAACTGCCTGGGAATAATGATTTTTTTTTATCAAAAAATGAAACAAGTTGATCAAAAATAACTGTTTCCAATACCTTTGAAACCACAGGCAGAATAGATATTTGTCAAAAGTTTTGAGGAAGGTTCAGCTCTCCTTTTTTGTAGAGCATGATTAATTTAGCAGATTTTAAAAAGATCGAAATGTATCATCCACCAAACAAGTGTTTATTATATCTACCAGTGGTGACAGTACTAACTACTACTACTTCTTAAAACTAAACACATTAATTCAAAAACATCTTTCTTTTCATTTTTTAATTTGTTTATAATACAACTCAATTCATAAAGATCAACTGGCCTGAAAAACATAGATTTATACTTCTTACTGATGCATTAGGGATTTCATTGCAGCTTGGTAAAATGTTTCTGTTGTGACTTTCATTTTCAATATTGTATCCGCTGTCTTTTTATTTTTTAATTTGTTTATAATACAACTCAATTCATAAAGATCAACTGGCCTGAAAACATAGATTTATAGTTCTTACTGATGCATTAGG